TCGGAGTAGCTACCCGCTACCCGCTATCTTATCAGTTATCGGTCAAAAGTTCAAAGGTTTTGTAATGTAAGTCAGTATTCATTTCAGTCGTTTTTTTTATCTATAAATTATTTTGTCTTCTTGTTACTGTTTTTCGGGTACACTGACGATAGTCCAAGTTACCCCCACCCCCTCCAAATAAAAACTTCTCTCAAGTGCGTAACGAGAATTTTTATCTTATCCACACGTATCTACCTTATCTTCTTATAATTCTTACAGATTTATTTACATATTATCTCTCATACTTTCTCCTTGACTAAGTACATTAAACAAACAAACAGTTGTACTATTTGACCCATTTTGCATTGTAGAATAAAAAAAAGGTATTAAAAAAAACAAAGCTTTCGTTATCCAAGTCTTAAGCAACACTAAACACAGCACTAGGCCCCATTAGCGTCCCCCAGCGCCTCCCTCCCTACCCGAGCAGTCACCCCCAAGTCGAAAAAATCGGATGCCCTTGGAAACAATTAAATAACTCCCCACACACATCCTTCCTCCCCCCTCCCCCTCCCCCCGTCCCCATTCCTCCCCACCCCCTTTTCCCTCTCGAAGTCGGGTCGGCGCAAGTGTCTTTTATGGGTCTACTTAAGGCCAAAGGGTGCTCGAGAATTTTATTTATTAGCGAGAATTTTAATTGAAATTAATTATTGATTGCTGAGCGAAATCAAATTACGGAACACAACATGGAGGGGGTGGACGGGCCGTGTGACCTAGAGGGGGGGGGGGGAGAGAACGGCTTGCACAGATTGCAAGGAACCACCGATGGGTGTTGGCAACTTCGCTCTTTTGAACAGATGGTGCTTATACTTTTATTTACTGTAGTATTCGTAACTGATATGACGTGTTAACGCCTTCCTCATAAATACTGCACTATGTGTATATAAATACGTATACAGTACACACACACACACACACACGCACACACACACACACACACACTCACACACACACACACGCGCACACACACACACACACACTCACTCACTCACTCACTCACTCACTCACTCACTCACTCACTCACACACACACACACACACATACATACGCGCACGCACTTACGGAACCTACGGTTCAACGAGTCAAAACAAGGTACCAGTAAATCAATGTAATTGTTAACTTAATTATTGTTATTAACAATGTAATTAATTAAGTTTAAATAGGCTATAAATTTTAGAAAATGAAAGTAAAATCATCCATAACACGTAAAACCAATATTATAAAAACTTACGTAGAAAATCTGTATAAAAGTGTATGTAATCGGATGACAGTTGTATTTTTAAAGTCTGATTTCATCCTTGAGATAAATAGGGATTCTAAGATGAGGAGGTTAAGTTTATGTGAGGCAGAGGTCAGAATGTGAAAATCTTTGTGCGAGTGGATGTCCGAGTGAAATAGCAGTGTTCTCTGATGGTAGAGCTGAGGTGAATTGAGCTGAATGCCTGTACTGTAAGGTAACTATCCGTAGTGAGACAGTTCCGATGAATACAATAGGAGAAAGGGTAAGTAAATATTTTATAAAATCACTTTTTTCTGTTCAGTCACTTTTAAAGGATAGAAGCTAAAGGATAGTAAGGATGAATGATAAAAGTGGCGATAATCTTCTTTTACTCTTTTCCTGTCTTTATACGGGGTCGATGTTTTTAATGAGTTGCCTCCATCTTACGGCTTCTTCCCTCGGGTCGCCACAGCGGAATGATCCGCATCATAGTCTTGGCTTGTTTTTACAGCCGGATGCCCTTCTTGCCGCCAACCCTCCCCATTCATCCGGGCACGGGACCGGCACGGGACATTCTACTCGATTGTGGGCTCCCATTTCTAGGTAATCGAAGTGAAGTTCATTACCCCGGCCGGCGACTCGAACCCTCGAACTCATATTGGCATGAGTCTTTGAGACCGATGCTCGGAACCGCGGCCGAGTGGTTAGATGATAATGATAACACTAATTCCAAGTATAGAATCTAAGTGTGATGAACAAAAATGAAAGAAGAAAATGATAGAAATAATAAAGTAGCTGTAATTACTATTTGTTAAGATAAGAGCTGAATGGAAGTGATAATGCTTATGACGACGACCATCAATCACATCGGAATAAGTGAAGTATAAAGAATAAATATTCACCGGCCAACTCTGGAAGACAAAGCTTTCCAGTGTCAACAAGTATCTTCTTGCAATGCTTTGATAACCCTTCTGCCCCGAAGCTGTAGTGGGATTGGGAGGAGGAGAACACAGAAGACATACAATCCAGCAATGAGAAGATGATAATGATGAGGAGGGCAATAATCCTAATAATAATGGTAGTAATAGTAATGATGGTGATGCTGGTGATAGAAAGTACGATAATGAAAACGATCACTAAGATGCAAGGGAGAAGGAGAAGAAGTAGGAGGAGGAATGAGACGTAGAAATAAATAAAGAGGAGGAAGGAGAAGGAGGAGGGAGGGAGAGGAGAAGGAAAAGGAAG